AAAAATATGATCTATTTGCATTGTTTATGTAAAAGTTTGTTGTGAAATGTGCTTAATTTAACAAATTTTTCAATTAAATGTGAATATTGCACAGTCAGTTTTTTAAAGTAATTTAACAGGTGTACTTTTCCCATTAAATTATCTACAGAAAAGTCACGCAGGCGTATTGCATTCTTTTCAGCGCTGAAACTTCATTTTAGTAAATGTACTTACAAGACACATTTGGTATTTGATAAGAAGAACTTTTATGTTTAATATTTTTATGCTGATTCTGTCTATTAAATTGTATAATATAAAAATATGTTAGATTCATATAATACAACATTACATAAATTCTGAATGAAGAATTAATGTCTTGTTTATATAACAAGTAGTTGTTAAATAGTGATGGGTAAGTTATCTGATTATCTCTAATATTATTTTTTATTAGCCTATCTACATTTCTTATTTATTTTTTATTTACAAATTATAATTGTATTAAATATTTAAATATTAATTATATTTTTACTATAACATTATCGTATTGTATATTTAAAAACACATATTATTATTTTTCATTTTTTTATTATAACATTTTTTCATATCGGATAAAATAATGACCAAGAAGTCAGATAGCAAGCATCATATCAAAGATTACATAATCATAAATAATTATTTTTATTTTGCTTTTAATTTTATATTATTTTAAGTTATACAATTTTAAATAATATTTTTTGTTGATAAATATTTAGTATTTGTTTCATGTTATTTAATTATTATAATAACATAGTAATGTAAAAATTTATAAAAAATTAATTATTTTATTTATAAAAAAATAAATTTTAATCTTTATCATCTTATCCGCTACTTAAAATCATTTCATCCACAAGATGATGAAGTTGGCACATTTTCAAAAAATTTAAATTCCAATTTATTTATAAACTTTTCTGTTTCTGTTTGCAGATGATAAGACTTTAGCAAGACTTTAGCTAAATAGAAAAAAATTGATTGTTAATTATCACTTTAAAAATCAGAAAAGATCGACAAACATTAACATTCTATTCTTCTTTCCCTACTTAAAATATCTTATGTTTACAATTTATAAAAATTTTATGTACTTAATACTTTGATTTAAATTATTTTTATTTACGTCTTTTTTACAAGAAGATGTAATTCAACATACATAAAGCTTTCTATCTTGTAAGTAGGAATGTCAGTTCTTTGATAAATATATCCTTATAACATTATTATTATATTCATGCTTATTTATTGCATTGAATGTATGACAGTAAAGTATGATACCGAAGTCTTTAGTAACTGCAATTAAAAATATTTTTTATTTGTGTATTTACCCATTTATAATAAAATATTATTGAGATATTTTAGATCACCGTAGCAAAACATTCCATGGATCCATGTAAAAGTCCACCGAGATTTAAAGTATGTTCTTTAACTCCTTTTTGTAACAGAAATAATATCATCTTCTGTACATGTAACGGGGCTTTATACCATTGAACGTTGTACCTATAAAAGTTTATGTATTATATAAAATAAATACCGAAACGCTAATTTGAAATAAGAATTCTCAATTAGTTTCAATATTTATATATTAATTTATTTTTCATAAACGTTAATTTTTTTATATTATAATCCTGAATAACAAACATTTATAGGTTTTATCTTAAGGATGGATTACATGGTGTTACTTCTGATTGTCGCTAGATTCTTTTATTCTAAATTCTTGCTCTTTCAGAACGAATTTTGGGCTGACGAAATTAATAATGTTAAACTAACTACACATTGTTCATAAACACAATGTACGAGTCATTCAATGTTTTGGAAAGATTATAATGAGAATGGTCATAAGTCTTAAGTCATCAAGTATCATGACATCACGGAATGATACATTATAAATCGTTATTGTGCTTTGTGCACAAGCTCTTCAAGCTGAAATTCACGATTTTCTCACAAATAAAATAGAAAAGAAAAAGAAAAATGGAAATGGATGAGTAAAATGGATAGATAGAAGACTAATTCCGGATATTCAGCTAATCTTTTCAAAGAATTAGTATTGAAAGATCCAATCGTGCATACTACAAAATAGCGCGATTAACGTACGAGAAATTGAAAAAAAAAGAAATATTATCAATGTTATCAGTTAATTATCTTGTGTAATATGCTGAACTATTTGCTGGTCTCTCGCTGATTCATTCACTATCGTTTTGACACGCTGCTACAAGTCACTCATTCGTTTGACGAACATCTCAACTCTTGCGACTATTAGATGCATGATTTCAAAATTTTAGATGCTAACGAAAAAAAAACAAATGTCTAAAAGAAGTTTTCACAAATTCGCTGACAAATGAAGAAACGAATAAAAGCAGTGCTGTGTAAATCACTCTTTAATGAATGTTTCTTACGCAGTAGCAAATATGTGATTATTATGTTCCAATGCCTTTTGTCCTATATAATTGGCTATAAACATATATAAGACAATAACAAACACAAATAGAGACGACAATAACAATTCTTGAACATCATTTTTAAACGATGCAATCTGAAAAATTGCAAAAAATAAATTTTATGCAAATTATCAGTTTCTTACACAATTTAGTTATACCTGTATGTAATACGATAAGCTGTCTTTATTTTCAAAATTACAATTACAAATAATTTATAAAAAAATGATAAAGTTGCAATAAAACATTGATTGCGCGAATATTAATAGAAATGTATTCTATTTTCGTTTTGGAAATATAATAAGCTGTTTTAAGAATTCACAATACTATCCATTAAATTCAACAAAAATTAAGAAATATTATAATGCAATTAAACTATAAATTTACATCACTATGTTTTATAATTTAAGTGAATGTTGCGTTACTTTTGTTTTTTACGATGTTTATCTATAATTATCTTAAATGTTGCGTCTGTTATTTTTATATTATTTATAATATAAATTTATAATATTTTACGCTATTTATAATGTGTTATATTTAAATTTATTGAATTTTTACAATTCCAAACAGTATTTGTCATTTTTAGCCTTCTTTATTAAACATAATTGATAAACGAGAACATCATCAAAGCGGCTCTTATATATATATATATTCTTTTTATATGAAATAAGAACTTACTTGATATAAGTTGAGACTCAAACTAGTAACTCCACACACTACCAAACAAAATATCATTACCTGAACAGCAGATTGCAAATTTTTGGACAATCTTAAAAAAATAATATTATTACACATAGGACACACATATCATCAGCATAAATACAAACTTTAGAGCTTGCCGATGAATATTTACAGCACAAATTATGCCGTCGTACATAAAAATACTACCTTCCATGGTAATATTTTGCAGAATTTTTATATTCATTGCATTCTCAATGCGATAGCTATAAATATGTATATTGTAATTATACAGCAACATGTTAAATAATGTAATCATAATCCTTTTATGACCAAATATATTCTTAAGAAGTAATTTTTTTTTATAGTCTAAAATGCTACTTCTCATACATATTTATATTCATACCTAGCAATTTTAAACATTCCACACGTATGCAAAAAATACGTAATAAGCGTGGAACCTATTGTTAACATTGCAGCGGTTCCAACATATGTGGCTATGGTCACGTGAAACAGAATCAAATAAAAAGATTTTTCTTGATCAATAAAATACTCCATTATCGGAAATCGAGTCATATTTGTCGATAAATTAGCATCAGCTATATTTAACCAAATTTCCATTATAAGACTAACAAGTACTCCGCAAATTGCAACAACTAAAAAACGTTATAAAGATAATATTTAAATTTTTAACGTCAAACATTATAAAATTGTTCCATATATACCATACGCATGTATTATAAAATATAATATTTTTACGCTAATTACAATCGAATTTTATTACGTAACTGATAATAATATCATTTTTTATAATTATAAACATATTTAATATTTATTAAATGTGTGTGCGTGCGTGTATGCATGTGTGCGTGTATGCGTGTGTGTGTGTGGCGTGTGCGTGTGCGTGCGCGGGCGTGCTGAAACATAACATAACATCATGCAATACATCATATGAATATACTATACATGTTTATATATAAAATAATAATCTGATCAAATCAATTTCTTTTGCTCGTTTACATATTTAATTAAATATTTATATAAATATTTATATAAATATTTAATTTAAATGAATATTTATATATTATATAAAATATTTATATAAAAATTATGTTATAATTTTATACAAATATTTATTTTATACAAATATTATCTTACCCGTAAGTGAATTCGTATAACGTTTTGCTATGCACTTGTACCTTTCTACGATAGCAATTTCATTTTCATCCTTTATCTCATTATGTGTATGTTGAAGCTGCATTAATAAGTCCTTAACCTATTATTTCAATCAATTTTTTATACTGTTTTGTACGTTTTTGTATGTTTTTGTATGTGAAAGACGCTTTCTATTATAAAGATTTAACAAAAAGTTTTATATGATGAATATTTCGCTATAAACTTACAACTTCAATATTAAAACGGAATGAAATATATTTTGTCGTGAATAATGAAAAAAATGATGCGGAAGACAGTACTTTGGTGATGAGATTTGAAGTACGTTTCAATGTTATTAATGGTGTCAGCTGTAAATAAGCGTTTATTTAATTTTATGTAAGTATTTAAAAATAATTATAATATATTTGATATATTTAATAATATACTTAAAAATTAGATTGTTTTATTTATATTAAAACAGTGAAATGTTTGTTCCATGTAATATTTAATGTATATTTATTTAATAACTATTACTATGTTCTTTCTTTTTTTTACCTGAAATATAATAAACGTCAGCAGGATAACAGAAAAGAGAATAAATTGAAATCGAGTGAATTCGGATTGTTGATAAGGCCATAAACCAATAGCAAGAAATTGAAATTTAATGAAAGTATCAAACTGAGTTTCTGGAGAACTCATCTCTCAGCAAACTCTAACATATTACTGTGAAGACATTGACGATTGTCCTCGCACCTATTCTTTTTTTGTCTTGCTCAATTGCTTAATATTTTTTTTCTGGTCTAATTTGGTATACAAATTTCCTAATTTACTGAATTGCATTATTATGAAAGAATTTACCATGAAGTTTGAATGTGTTCAATTTAAGTTTTTCAGCAAATTATTTATATTTATGCGATTAATTTACTAGAGACAATAATTTGACAGATGTGCATTTCTCAAGAAATTAAGCTAGCTACAAAAAAGCGACGCAGGCGTATTTCTTTTTTCTCAGCACTGAAATTTTATTCTGATACAACTTTTGTAAAACGTATTTGATTTTCGAGATAAAATTCGTTAGTCGTAACTTTTTAATTTATAGTCTTCTGATAAATTTTATAATTTAAAAATGATGAAATTGTTTTGGATCACATATATACATGATATTCTGAAATGTTAAATTGCGATGTACATTTTCATCAAATGTCAAATGTTGACATCAGCTATCTAATAATAATAATTGTCTGTAATAATATTTGCCTTAAGTCGTATTTATATCTTTTCTTTTATTTATTAATATATGTTTAATTTATTAATATATTTTTCTTTTATTTTATTAATATATATCATTTACTCGCAAAAACTTTATGATTAAACGGTTTTAGAAATGTTAATATACATGAAAAATTAAGTCTAACATTTATTGTATTGTGATAAGAAATTAAATTAAATACAGGAAATCAATCTTGAAAGTAAGTTAAAATAAATAATAATAAGTGAGTGAGAGAGTGCGCGCGCGCGCGATGTGTGTGTGTGTGTGTGTGTGTGTGTGCGCGCGCGCGCGCGCGCGCATATTATTGTTTAAAATATCAACTATGTATGTCAGCTATTTAATTATCTAAAATAATATTTTTTGATAATCATATTTATATTGTATTTTTTTATTTAATATGTCACTTATGATAGAAAAAAGTTAATATTTTTACGGGTATTTTTCGTGTCTTTATACATTATTGAATGCCAATTACTTATGATAGCTTCAAATTTAAATATGTATAATGATAAAAGAAAATTAAGAATAACATTTCATGTATTGATAGTAGATTATAGGAACTAAAAATCATACTTAAATATAAATTAAATTAAATGAATATTAGATGTTATTTTTCTTATGTGTACTTACGTTACGTATTTATTATATGTACATTATGTGTACATTAAAATAAATGTTATTTATATATTTGCTTTAAATATACTTAGTTATATTTAAAGTTTCTTCTTTAAGTACTTACAATAATTTTTATAGATTTTGATAGAATTTGATATATTTGATATATTAATATTTTGATTTAAAGAATTTTTATTTATATTTTTCTACAGAGAAATATCTATTTCAATTACATTTAAAATTTTCTACTCTGTAAGCAGAAATACTATCATGTCTTTAAAATAAATATATTTTCATATTCTTACTACATTATACTTTATTCATCATACTTTATTCATTGCATTATACTTTATTCATCATTGCATTGAATATATGACAGTAAAGTATGATACTGAGGTCCTTAGTAACTGCAATTAAAAATATTTTTACTTATAATATTTATTTATAATAAAATAAATACTGTTGAGATATTTATATCACCGTGGCAAAACATTCCATGGAACCATGTAAAAATCCACCGATATTCAAAGTAAATTCTTTAACTCCTTTTCGCAACAGAAATAATATCATCTTCTGAACACGTAACGAAGCCTTATACCATTGAACGTTATACCTATAAAATTATATGTATTAATTAAAACAGATGATGAAATGCTAATTGGAGAAATACTTTATCAATTAATTTAAATATTTATATATTAATTTTTTTCTGTATGAATATTAATTTCTTTATTTAATAACATTAGAGCACGATGTTTATGGAATTTATCCTATAAAATATTTCTTACGCAGTAACAAATACATGATTATTATGTTCTAATACATTTTGTCCCATATAATTGGCTAGAAACATATATAAAACTATAATAAATACATACAGAAGCGAAAGCAACAATTCTTTAACATTATTTTAAACGATGCAATCTAGAAAAATCAAACATAAATTTATGAGAGTTATCATTCTTTTATGTTCTTACTATTTTAATTATAAACATATACGTAAATAGTATAATTTAATTTTTTATTTTAAAACTATGTATATATTACACACACACACACACACACACACACACACACACACACACACACACACACACAAATTCAGGACATCCAATTATTTTAATTCTATAGTTATCTTTTCTAATCAGAATTGTCAAGACACATAGACTTTCAAAACATCGTTGCACATTTTAATACAAAATATGAAACTTACTTGAAATAGATTGAGACTCAAACTAATTACTCCACAAACCAATAAACCAAATGCCATTACTTCAAATGCGGATAGGAAATTTTTGGACAACCTTAAAGAACTGCTGTTATTATACATAAGATACGTATATTGTCGATCACAGATACAAACTTTAGAGCTTGCCGATGAATTTTCACAGCGCAAATTATTCCATCATACATAAAAATATCATTTTCCATAGTAATATTTTGCAGAATGTTAATATCCATTGCATTCTCAATACGATAGCTATAAATGTGCGTATTGTAATTATATTGTAACATATTAAAGAATATAATTACAATTTTTTAGTGACAAAAAACTTTTTTTCATAATAATCAATTCTTTTTGTAGTCTAAGATACTAAACTAAAGATACTTTTCCTTATATACATATGTATATTCATACCTAGCAATTTTAAACATTCCGCAGACATGTATTATGTATGTAATCATTAATGAACCTATTGCTAATAATGCAGTAGCTCCAATGCATACTGCTGCGTTTACGTGTAACAGAGAAAAATAAAAATACATTTCATGATCAAAAAAATATTCCATAATAATTGGAAATTGATATAATTGAGTTGTATTTATCGGTACATCTATGTTAATTAATAACCAAACATTTAATGTAAGACCAAAAATTATTCCACATACTGCAAATGCTAAAGAACATTATATTATTATATATAAATTTCTAGCGCAAATTATTATAAAATTCTTTTATGTGTACTATTGTTTTATGTACAATTATTTTATATATACACATGCATATTATGAAATGTTATAAAATATTTTTTAGGCTAATTATAATTGAATTTTATTACACAATTGAAAACAACATTACTTTATTTCAACTATAGACACATTTAATATTTATTGTAAATGCACAAACATAACAAATTCATGTAGTAAATAGTATATATTCATATATGTACATATATATGTTACGAAAATATTATATTTTCAAGAAACTGATTTTTACTTGTTGTTGCTACTTTATATAACAGTTAGTAAAAATATTGTTAGTATAAATATTGTCTTACTTGTAAACGAATTTGTATAACGTCTTGCAATACAATCATATTTTTCTATGATAACAATTTCATTTTCATCCTTTATCTCATTATGTGTATGCTGAAGCTGCGTCAATAAATCCTTAACCTATCAACTTCTTAAACTGTCTTTGTATATTTTAAGCAACGCTTTTATTATAAAAATTTAACGAAAAATTAATTTTATTAAACAAATTCTCTTTAAACTATAAACTTACAATTTCAATATTAAAATGGAACGAAACATATTTTATCAAGAATGATGTAAATATTAATGTAGAAGATAATATTTTTGTAACAAGATTTGAAGTACATTTTAATGTTATTAATGCTGTCAACTGCAAATAATTGTGCTTATTTCATTTCATGTAAGATTATAAAAATAATTTTACAATATATTTCAGACAAAGATTAAATTGATCAATTTAGATTAAGGTTTTTATGACAGTGAACGATTTTTCATTTAGTATGTAGTATGTAGTAATGTATTATATAACAATATTATTATACTTTTTTCTTTACCTGAAATATAACAGATGTTAACAGAATAACACAAAAGAAGATGAATTGAAATCGAGCAAATTCAGATTGTTGATAAGGCCATAAACCGATAGCAAGAAATTGAAATTTATTGAAAGTGCAATATTGAGTTTCTGGGGAACTCATTTCTCTGCAAGCTCTAAAATATTACTACGAAGACATTGGCGATTGTGCACTTATCTTCTTTTTTTTTTTCCTTGTTTAGTTAAATATTCCATCTCCTTTTTTTCTGGTGTAATTTAGAACATTACAAATTTTGTAATATGCTATATTGCTTTATTGTACACGAATTTACTGTGAAGTTTGAATATGCTTAATTTAATATATCTTTCAGTAAATTATTCATATTTACATGATCGATTTACTACACAATAATTAGACAGGTGTGCATTTCTCAACTAAGTTATCTACGCAGGTGTATTTCGCTTTTTTTTTTTCAGAAACTCTGAAACTTTGTTCTAATACTTTTATAAAATTGTACTTGATTTTTGAGACAAATATTTGTTAATTGTAACTTTTTAATTTATATTAATAATAATTTATAGTTTTTTATCTATAAATATTATAATTGAAAAATGATTATCGGATTAATAAGTGATATTCTTAAATTTTTAATTAGTAATCGTGATGTATATTTTTCAAATGTTAAATGTTGACTATCTAATTATAATTAATTATTATTAATAAATTAATAATAATTAACAATTAATAATCTTTAACAATATTTACTTTTAGTCGCATTTATAGGTTTTTTTATTATTTAGTACATACATATATTATTTAACACTCACAAAATCTCCAAGTTAAAATATTTTTAAAATTGTTGATACAAATAATAAATTATTTCAGAATAATGTTTAATATATTGTTTACAAATTACGGGAATGATCAATTTTAACTTGAAAGTAAATTAAAATTGAGTGCTGTGTGCATATGTATATGGATGAGTACACTATTATTTACTGTTTAAAATATATTATATAAGATTATTTAACTTTGATATATTGCAAAAGTTTAATTTAGTAATATTTTTATTTAAAAATTTTTTATTTCCTTTGACTTTTTTAAAAACTAAATATTTGGCTAAACTACATTTCCAAAAAAAAATTTTTTCTAGTTTTAAACAGAAATTACTGTCGTTTCTTTATATTCGTATTATTTTATATCTGTTATCAAGTTCATATTTGGCTTCATCATCGTGTAGAATACACGATAGTAAAATAAGTTATTGAAGTCTTTAATTAAAAAGACATTTCTTTTTATAATCTATTTGTGTATATAATTTTATAATAATATATTCTTCTTATTGTAACATAAGATTCAATGGATGTATTAAATGGTCTTCCGATAAAATCAAGATAATATCTTTGACTACTCCATTTAAAATAGTTGATTTAAGCATTTAAAATGCCTTATTTCCATAGATTACAGAAAGATGATGTACTTCATACCTTTATTTAAATTACTTTTATTTATATTTTAACAAGGAAATGTTTATTTTAATCATATATATAAAATTTTCCATCTTGAAAGTAGAAATACTATTACTTCTTCTATAAATACATCCTTATAAAGTTATCACTATATTTATACTTCGTCATTGCGTTGAATATATGACAGTAAAGTATGATACCGAGGTCTTTAATAACTGCAATTAAAAACATTTTTTAATTATGATATTTATTTATAATAAATTACTGTTGAAATATCACCGTGGCAAAACATTCCATAGACCCATCGATTAGTCCACCAATATTTAAAGTATATTCCTTAGCGCCTCTTTGCAATAGAAATAATATCATTTTCTGTATGCGTAACGGAGCCTTATACCATTGAACATTGTACCTATAAAATTTTGTATATATCAAAATAAATAACAAAACTCTAATTTGAGATATAGAAATGTTTTACAAAATAAATTTCAATATTTATATATTAATTTATTTTTTATACATATTAACTTTTTCGTTTAATAACTTTAAAAAATAAACATTTATAAGTTTTCTTATAGAATATTTCTTACACGGTAGTAAATATGTGAGTATTGTGTTCTAACGCCATTTGTCCCATTTGATTGGCCATAAACATGTAAAAGACAATAACAGATACAAATATGGATGATAATAATATTTCTTGAATATTATTTTTAACTGATGTAATCTGAAAAATCAAAAATAAATTTAATAAAAAATTAATTTTATAGGAATCATTAGTTTTTTAGATTTCACGTTTCAATTATGAGTGTATACATTATAT